TAGCTGGGAACACCTTCTTCCCCTTTCTTTTCTTCTCTTTCTTTTTTTCTCTTCTCTCCCAACTTAGAGTGGGACGCTACTAGGGGCCTTTCTACTAGGTGCCAGGACGCTACTTTGACGCTACTAGGGGCTCCTGGCCTTACTAGGTGCCGGACGCTCTAGGGCAGAGATGCCTCCCCTTGGGGAGGCGTGTGTGTGTGTGTGTGTGCCCCTTGTAGTCACAGGGATCCAACTGGATTGTTTTGTTTCCTTTTCAGCAGGGGGACTGGAGCCGATTTGCCTATCCAGTCCAACGAAGCTATGGCATTTCGGTGGATGAGTGGTCTGATCAACCACTTGTACCTGCTTGAATTTTAACTTTTGCTGAGAAGTATCGTCAAGCGCTAGTGAGTTCTGCAGACGTGCACGGACCGCCGTCATCTCGTCGCTCCGCCTCCGTCGATTCGATACTTCCGCTTTGGGCCCTCTTTCCTCTTGAAGACCTCCAGGCTCCGATGGTTCTTACTGGTACTCTTAGGAACTGGAACCCTAGGCCGGTGTGTGGCACCGCTATCAGTTCCGTATGCATATCCATAAGTGTGTGCCCCTTGTAGTCACAGGGATTCTTTTGAATTGTTTTAGCAGGGGTGCCAGGGATGCACACTGGGCTGGCACCAACGAAGACGCCAGTGTTGCATCCGTGAAATCAATCCGGGACGCCGGATTGACGTACCTGCTTGGAAGGAAACCTACGTAATGGACAAGCTGTTCCAATTCTGTGTTTTGCAGTAATTGTCTAGTGCTGACCTCACCGTCGTTGAGCTTTGGAGACCGTGACTTCAGAATTTTCAGCTTTGGAGATTGGTGGAGCTTTCCCTTTACCCACCTTGGCTTCTTAGGTTTTTCACTTAGGCTGGCGTGTGGCACCGCTGTCAGTTCAGTACGCATATCTATAAGTGTGTTAGCCCCTGTATCCAAGGATGTTGCGCAACCTAATTCACCTTGAATTGACCGTCCAACACATGCAGGGGGGCAGTGAGTCTCTTACCATCCACTGCCCAACGAAGACGGTGGTTTGAGACTGTGATATTCCCGTGCGACGCCTCAGGATTGCACCTCCTTTTTTCCATCTTTCTAAAGTGCTAATGAACCTTCTCCGTCTCACCCATGTTAAACAATACAGTTGAAGCGGACTCCTTCACCCTTCCGTTTGCAAGTCAATCTCTAGTTTGCACCTGGTATCGTATTCACTAAAGTGGAACTTCATTCACGGACTCAGCTCTTGCGAGCACGAGCACCAAGCTAAGTGTGCGCGTGTGAGCATTAAGGGCTGTATCTGCTCAGTCAATCTGCTGACGAAACCATGCCTTGACAAACGAAAGAAACATGTCGAAACAACCATGAAAAAGAAGAAAGGAAAGGAAGGACAGGTCTGAAAATCGAATGGTCAAAAAGAACAAAATACATACTTCATTGGAAGGGTGTTTAATACGCCGAATCAGCCTTTCATCCCTTGCTCTTCAGAGTGACGAAGCTTACATGAGCCAACGGAGGCGCAGGAGGTCGGGTGAAACAGGCAAGAAAACAGAAGAATCTCTGGTATCTCATGAGGTTAACAAGAAGCTACTAGGAACAAGTGCCACGCTAGAAGTAACAAGTGCCTTACTAGTAGTAACAAAAAGCTATTAGAAGTGTTCGGGAAGTCCCCAGTTTGCTGCCAAACAGAACCTCCAAATGACTGCAGAGTACCTGCCAACATCGCCGTGGAGGCTCTTGAAGGCACTTGTTACTACTAGCAAACATTGTTCCTAGTAGTAAGGCACTTGTTACTAGTAGCGATGCACTTGTTACTAGTAGCGTCCTTGCTCCTAGTAGTAAGGCACTTGTCGTCAGGTTTGCAAAACACACACCTGCCTGATGTGAAGGCAAAGCCCGTCTCGAGGAGTCCAAGACCTCCAGATGTACCTGAATGTGGATGATCTGGTAAGGCCCCAAGGTTATGCTGTTGCTGAATTACAAGTCAGCGCATTCCGCTATGCCGCTAGGCGAACATCATAGAAATTGACGTGTCCAAATCAAAGGGAAATCCTATCTCTGACAAGATCCATCTTCAATAGTAACAAGTGCCACGCTTGTAGTAACAAGTGCCTTACTAGTAGTAACAAAAGCTATTAATTTAATTAATTTAACTTAATTTTGACTTTAATTCTAATAGCTTCTTGTTACTCTTCAATCCAGTCTCAAACTTTCTCCGACTCCTTGGCACTCTCCTCAACAGGAAATCCTGAGAGTCCTTCAGCTCTACGTGGAGCCCATCGCTTTTAGGTTGGAGGCAGAAAAACAGTTTCCTTTATGCAACTTCTAAGAGGCTACTTGTAACAAAGGGCATCGCTACTACCCGCTTTATATCGGTCCATGCAAGTTCATCGACAAGGCCGTGCGCACGGTGTCTTCCTCAAGGTGCCATCGCCCGAGCAAGGCCTTGACCACGGTTGCCAAAATGTACAACGACTGGTCCAGAAAGAAAAACGACCAAAAAAGATCAAGGAACTATGGGTTGCCTCAAGAATAGTTAGTTGAAACAGCATTTTCTTTGAAGTCCTTCTTACCTCCTTGCAAGGAGTAACGGGATATTGCGGGAGCTGAAAGTCAAGGCCCAAGGTGTAAACTTGTAAACGTCCAAAGAAGAAGCGATTAGAAAGAGTGACACATTTTGTTTGCCGGGGTGGAACTAGGCTGTAGGGTGAGCTAACAAGTAGCTAGTAGCAAGTAACGAGAAGTAGTAGCAAGGAGTCAACACCAAACCCTTGAAAGGCTTGGGCATTGGATTTAAGTTGATCGAACACATAAAAACAGGTCAAGAAATAATGCGAGGAGGTTCTTCAAACTTGAAGCTCTGGTTTTACTCCGAGCACTGAACGCTTTAGCCTCTTTGGATCTTCAACGTCAAAGAGTGCTCCTTTTGCACCTGGTTTTTATAACAGCTCTATGTTTTCGAAGACAAATACGAGCAGTGGGAAATGTTCCTTTTGATGCTTCATTATCCGTTATTTTGCAAGGATTTGCCGAGGGTATTACTTATTTGTGTTGCTGGGTAAACGCTTCCTGCGGGTCGAACGTGTGGCTCGCTATGACTTTCAGAGACTCGCGCATTTTACACAAATAGTCTAAATTCTACGAAAAACGATGGCACCCTTTTGTTCAAAGCATATACAACATATCAGCCGATCTGAAGTGCAAAAACTCGTTCAGCGAGTCAGCACTTCTTCAGCATGTTCAAAAAATTGCTTTTGACAATCTCCCCAAAGCTCCCAGGATCAGTCATTTCATGCGATTCCAATACCCTCTTTTCTCAAACATAAATTCTTGGACAAAAATGGTAGCTTCCTTGCTAGTAGTAACAAGTGCATCGCTAGTAGTAACAAGTGCCTTACTAGTAGTAACAAGAAGCTAATAGAAACAATAGAATCCCAAAATGTCATTAATTGCTCGTCAGCCTTCCGTCCATTCCACAACTTTCACCTCAAATGTCGCTTTTGAGATTATCCGTTATACATTGAATCAATCCAATAGCCAATATCTGCAAAAAAACGGCTATATAGATAGGCTTCTTCTTGAGCCCGAAACAAACATTCTCCGGATCCTGCTTGAAATCCTCCATTTTGCTTCTTTTTTAATCAGGAACTTCTACTAGCTTCTTGTTACTACTAGTAAGGCACTTGTTACTACTAGCGTGGCACCTGTTACTACTAGCTTCTTGTTACTACAACCCGGACCTGGAGGAGGCTTTTCTTCTGGGCACCCGGGCACGTCGCAAAGAACCCGGTCGAAGCGGAAGATCTCCCGGCGGTCGGACGACGCACCTCAAAGGACCGGCGCGACAAACGAGGAGGAGCGATGAAAGGGAGTCGAAGAAAGACAAACGAGGAGGTCGCTTGTAAAACACATGCTTGTTTTCATTCGCTTCTTGCTCCAAGTAAGGCCAGGAGCCACTAGTAGCGTCCTTGCTCCTAGTAGCGATGCCCTTCGTTCCTAGTAGCGTCCTCTGCCCCCCCTTTTTTGTTAGAACAGAATAGGTCGTGGTCCCCACGACAGATTGTCCGTCCACGACATCGTCTGCTCAGGGAGCAGCTGGACATCTCCGGGAAGAACTGAGCATCACAGTTCACCTCCAGTTCGATCGCAGGAAGTTTTTCTCAGCGACGGCCACCAACCTTCTAGCGAAAGACGTGATAATTTGGAGGGAGCAAAACTCAGAAGGTTCGCTGTTCCTAGTAGTAACAAGGACGCTATTAGGAACAAGTGCATCGCTACTAGTAACAAGTGCCTTACTAGTA